GCAGCAAAAATCCTCTCAGTAGTGCAATTTTGACTGACAGTTTCTCATTTTCTTCCTCAAACCTCACACCAGCTTGGACTAGCAACTCAAATGATTGCTATTACAAAAACACACAGCTGCATTTTGTTGTTTTAGCTTAAAGTAAAGGGAATTTTATTATTGGGCATCTTGTTAAAAACCTGTAGTGTGATTCTAAAGTTTATGTTAAGCCAGTAAAAAGCTAGGCATGTGGCATGTGCGTGATTTTTATCAAATAACAGCAATCAGACTAGGGTGGCAAAATAAGCTGAGGGAGATACATCATAACCTGTGTTTCCTGGCATCTAAAATTGTATATTAAGAATATATCACTCAGAAGCAGCCACTGCTAGTAATACAGACTACATTTGTATAGTTTCTACTGTAGGCAAAGATGTAGGTAAGAAAAAAAGACTAGGTGACCTAGAAATGTGTTATAAACTGTACCGGCAGTCAGGGCCTCGGCAGTGTTGATCTGTGTCACTAGATTGTCTCCTTCAGGACTCAGTGGACAGTTTCAGGTGCTGGACGGATGTAGTGCTGCTTGCTTGGGAGTGGAGGATGGCTTTAAAGGACGAGAGCCCTTGAGGTAGAGCCGGACGACGGGTAGGGAGTCAGATACTGTCGAGCCTGTTCTGTCATAATGAGCTGGTCCTCTGTCTTCCCATAAACCACTGCTTCCCATTCGCTCACCTGCAGGGAGGGGAACCGCTGGTCAGTAATCGGTTTCTATGCTCTGCTGATCTGGAACAAACTTCCAGAAAATGCATGCTGGAACACTTATTTTCCAGAACCTTCAGTGTTTGTTTACATAAATACTGATCTGTATTAGACTGAAAAGCCATCACTTCTAGTAATAAAGTTAGAACTGATTTTTCTTTTACAGTGGTTACATTTTATAATTGTCATTGTGTAACTGCTTTACGTAAAGCGAGAATAACCCTACATCTATCTGAATGCACAGTCTATTTTTGTTGATTGTGATTATACTGCTTTTAATTCCAAAAATAAATGTAAAACCAGCTAATACTATTGGTTTAAATCCATAAAAATGAGTTTATTATATTGTTTAGAACACTGAGTGCACAGATTACTAAGGTTAGTTGAGTTTATTAGTGTACTTTAATGCAAGCAGTGCAATTTACAGCTAAACAAATAAAGAGTCGGACACAAAATGCAGGAAATATTCAAAAGCAAACTGCATTGGCAGGCAGGTTGGTCTCACATACCTGTGCAGTAGATAATTTTGGTTCTTTGTGTGAGGAGGGATCGTTTTTCACATCAGGCCTGGAGAAGCAGTGAGTGTGACAATGGACTCCTAATAAGGACTTGTCTTTCTCAGAGGCTGACTGCCTACCCTCCTCTTCCTCAGTGATCGGGGTGACCAGCAAAGAGTTTGCCTGCAGACTTTCTTCTGAAATCTGGAAAATGACAAGAGGTAAAGGCTGTTGTTGGAAACAGGGTTTTCTGAAAGAGAACAGTCTCGACCTTCCTTACAGTCCTCCATTTTGGATGTGAGATAAACCAGGCTGAAGGTTTATCGTACATGCAAGCTTTGTAAGATATGCCTTGTTTTGGCGCAAAAACAGTTGCAGAAAATATTTTAGCTAAAGCTCTGACTCTAGTTATCATAGCAGCTATTTTCGACCTGCCAGTTTCCATTTCCTAAATGCAGTGTTTCATTATATCCTGATGGTGTCAACCAGGACATGTTATAGCGGAATATCGTCTCTGCTGTATGAAAATTGAACTGTTAGCGTCTCATGACAGTCATAAACCTTTCATACGGCAACAGTCTTCAGGCAGAATGTTTCCTGCCCACGGCATCATCGTCAACGATTCTTTGAAGATTCTTGTATTATATTAAAAATTACAACATTTCATTTCACTTTGGGATAAACAAAGTATTTTTGAACTGACTTTCAAAGGCTTGGCACAAATCCCATAAAACAGCAGCAAACTGTGACGTTTTGGAGTATAGCCACACCTAATTACTACAAGACGTTTGGTGTAAGAATAGAAGAATCAAATTATAGGGTGAGATGGTGGCAGGTGATTTGCTCAGAGGCTCACAGGTGAAAGAAAAAGTCAGACTGACTCACCTGTGCATCGTTGAGCTGCTCTTGGAAGACGGTAAGGCTATCTTCAACCCAAGGGTCAAGTACAAGAGACTTGCGCACTTTTCTCGCTGGACCATCCATCTAAATGTGTAAGTCAAACATTTATTTATCACTTTTTATTTATTAGAGAACATAAAACAGCCATATCAAACATTTTCTATAACAAACAAAACAGCTAAAAAGGTCGGAGTATGACATACATTATGTTTCCACGCTCTGTGGTCGGACTGGAAGTCTGTTTTGTTGAAGATGTCTCTTCCTGTCTCCTGCTTCAGGACTTCTAGGATGTCCTCTTCCAGGAACGCCAAAGGCTGTGGCTACAAAACACAGCAAGAAGAAGAATATAAACGACTGCTCTTGGAGAGAAAAGTAGCAATCAGCTTTATGATCAGTGTCTCACCTCCATCCTCAATGGGCCGTGCATTTTTTCCTGGGCAGCCAAAGCTTTTTTAAATGGGGTTGGGGTTCTTGGGGTTGGGGCAGCAGCATTTTTAACAAGTTTAGGGGTCCTGGAACTAAAAAAATGAAAAAAATGTGTCACTGCAATATTTTTTCCTGAAAAATTGACATTTTGAAATGTTTTCGTCACACTTTATTTACCCATCGTTTTCTTTCTGTTGTTTGGGTGTATTTTCCTTGAGAAGGCATCTTTGACCGCACACAGGAGTTGAGGTCAAGGCGGGATCCTCCAGGTTCAGATGCTCCGTCGCTGATGTGTTGCAGAACTGGCATGACAGACGTGGCATTTTATACAAATTCCTAAAGCAACATGTCTGTATTAGCTATAAGAGGACAAAAAGGCAGTGAGACAAACATCTTACTGCTGACGTGGTGCATGAGTGTGACTTTGTAGGTGTCTTCTTGGGAGAGTTTGACATGTTTTCCAAGAACGAAGAGCAAGTCCTGTCACACAGAGGCTGTCTTCTGTCTCTCCTTTTCTTCCTCCCGCTGGAATCCTTGCCGGGTTTCAGTGAGTTGATGCATGTCTGGGAGGCGATGGCGGCCAAGCCAAATGGCGGGCAGTTCCCATCGTGGCCTGGTATGGCGGTGTGATTGTTGACGGTGTAGCCTATCGGTTCATAAACTGTCCTCTCCTGCAACAGATTGGTGAAGTCTGCGTGGTTATGTCTGGGTGGCGTCGCTGCATTCGACACATCAAAACTGGCCACACTGTTCCAGGTTCCAGGCTCCTGACGGGAGGAAGAAATATTGTGTAGATAAATCCATTACATCTAATCATAATAATGATTCTGTTTTTGCTTTTGTAACTCACTGAATCGAGTAGCTCCATGGTTTCCGCAAACTCTGGGATGGTGTGAAGGCTGGAGAGCACAGCGCTAGCCTCTGCGGTCAGGAACTTGCTTGGAGAGACTTGAGGGGGTGGCGCTGGGATGTCCGGCCCTCTCCAGGACCCCCTCTCCGCCTGCTCCTCCAGGCTGCTGTTGGTGGTCATCGAGTCTTCAGACAGACTGTCTGACCAGGCTGGATACGGCTCCACACTCTGAGGGTCAGGAAAAACAGGGAAGCTACGACAAAGATTTTATGTTGCAGAACAAAGTTGCTAGCAAAAGATTTAAATCGCAAAAACATAAATCCTTATGCACCGTACTGCAAAGGTATCCATACCACTTGAACGTTTTGTTTTCTTTTTTTTTTAATTTTTCATATGTTGTAAGATTACAAACTTAAATCTATATTGAGATTTTATGTGAAGGTGATGTGTAATAATAATAAAAAAAATCACTTAAAGTTGTTTGAAATAGTATTTTTACACAAAAATCTGAAAAGTGTGGCATGTATTTGTATCCAGGCTGCCGGTGTCAATACTGTTCAGAACCACATTTTGCTGTAATGCATGTTTTTTTGGAAATGTTTCTTCCAGTTCTCTAGAAAGAGAAATTTGACGCAAATTTTCTTTCTTTCAGGAATTTGACTGGGTCATTTTAATACGTAGTATTGCTGGTGTTGTCCAGCTAGAAGGTGGAATCTGGTTCAGTCTCAAGCTTTTTCAACAAATTGGTTTTCAGGATTGTCCTGCATTTAGCTCCACCAATAAACTAACTGCATCCCCATTGAATGATGCTGCCTCCACCATGCTTCTATGAGGATGATATGTTCAGTGTTACTTTTCTGAAAGCAATATTTCCTCTTGGATAGCATGTGGAGGGACATTATACATGTCACATTTTTACAGTTGTTTTGTGTAAAACAACTGTCATTGTCATTGAAATATTAATTCCACTTCACATATCTATGCTACTTTGTGCTGATCACATAAAATCCCTTTTTTGTCAGGGGGTTTGAAAACTTTTGTGCACATAAATGCTATAAATAGTCGCAGAGGTTCAGTTTTGACAGTAGAGACAGACTAAAGGGGCGTAAAAACAAGTGCTTGACAGATGAGGGGAGGATGGAGCAGCTTCACAGGTGCAACCGTAGTGAGGTGACTACCAAGCACAGCTTCAGCCTAATCCAGAGGAAAATATGAAATGGAATATGTTTTAATATAGCAGGACTACAAGCACGCATAAATGTGCTCAAATCTGGTGCTATACATAGAAAAAAAGCTCATTCAGGAATGTCAACCACTGGCGGGGTGATTTATCAGACAACTTAAAAATGATCAAGTTTTGTATTTCATTGTTCATCAAATTTTTAACTATTATTTTAAAATGAGCTTTTCTTCAGCGTATGACAGCTGCAAACCCACACAGGATGCTAGCTAGCTAAGTCTGCTAAAACACACACACGGAGTGTGTTCTTACACGTGAACCTCTGCACTGCATGTGTCGCTGGACTTCGCTCTCTGCTGACATAAGCAGCAGCTCAAGCTCCTTAATTCTCTGTTCTCTGTCAGGATCATCCAGGCAGGATGGCTGCAGTGTACGAACATCAGGGAGGAGAGTTTGACAAGAAGAGAGGAAAGAATTAAGAGTTAAGATAATCAAAGAAAGGGGACAAAACATAAATTCACAAACATTGATTATTCAGGGTTAGGTGAGGGAAAAAAACAGGACAGTCAAGTGTTTGATTGGCTTGATTTGTCCAAAGTTAGCAAACAACAAGCAAGTGTAACAATAAAGGTAAGAAAATAAAGAGAAATGTTTTTGTAATGTACATTAACTTAAACTCAAAGACTCACTGATACAAAGCTGCAGTTTTCAGGAAGGCTGTCTATAATGTGTCTGCTGGCAGGATCGTAAGAAAAATTCCCCACCTGCAACACAGAGCACCAAGCTGAAAGGAGCTCAAGTTAAAGACTTTAGATGAGTTGCGAAGCGGAGGCTGAAACGGACCTGGCTGGAAGCCGTCACAGGCAGAGGACTGGGACCGCAGTGCTGGGGGTCCGTCGGAGTCAGAGGACAGGAACTGCTGTTCCGTCTTTTCCCGTTTCCAGAGGAGGTGAAAGACTTGCAGCCATCCTGCAGGTAACCCTCGTGCTCCACTTTCCTCCTCATGGTGGAATTCCAGTGGTTCTTGATGGAGTTGTCTGTACTGTGAGGGAAATGACTGATGGCATTAAACTTCCAGATGCTGGCTAGAAGAAGGAACCTGTATTTGAGACAACATTACCGGCCAGGAAGCAGCTTCGAAATCTCTGCCCAGCGGTTGCCGAGCCGCTTGTGGGCTTCATAGATGATCCGATCCTCCTCCTGCGTCCACGACGACTTCTTCACCTCTGGGTTCAGGTGGTTGTGCCAACGCTCGCGGCACTGCTTTCCAATCCTCCCTTGCAGGTGCTTTGCGATCACCGACCAGCGCTTTGGACCGTACTTGTGCACCAGGTCGATCACCTGCACAAACACCCAAAACAGGAAACATCGAGACACTTCATAGAAAAATACGGAAAATGTAAAGAAACTGTGTATTGCTATACAGCAGAATCCTCATGCTCAAAAGAACGAGTTATTCAGCTGTGGGTGGATGTAGCTGCAGCCCGTTTTGTCAGAACTGAGCAATGCTGTGATGTCATAGTTGGCAGGCCAAATTTAAGCAATAGTTCTGATTAGATGAAGCTGGTTTGTAATGTTTGGATTCAGTCAGGCATGATTCATGATCATTTTTAGCAACAGTAGTTTGCAAAGTGATACAAAAAGGTGATAAAGCAAGCGAGCATTGCACTACACAAGCACTGATTTCAATGGGATTTATGTGATTGACCTGCATTAATGTTTGGTTCTAACACTGTCGCAAAAAAGTAATTAATAATCGATCACATAATAAATTAAAATTAGCTCAATAATTTCCATTCTGATGATGATTAATATTTATTCAAGGGCAATTTTGCTTCATTTACATAATCAATTTTATGTATGGTTTAGATTATTTTCTTTACATTTATTGTTTTGGTTACTGTGTTTTACTTTGGATATTTAAAATGTCTTCCAGGTCCGCCAAGTTTATTTGTCTTTGAAAGAGTGAAGTTAATTTATTATGCCATTAAGATATTACTTGAAAATAGTCTCAAAACAATTATATTATTGTTTATTGCAATATTTTTTGGGAACTGTTTAACATGTGCAGAGGGTAGTTAGATAAATAATAGATTGCACTTTGTGGTATTTGTGTTTGTGGTGTGTTCTTTCACAGCTTTCCTCTTTCTCCCATATAATCTCCAGCAACTCCCAGCTCTACTTACCTTTTGATCCTCTTCCTTTGTCCAGGGTCCTTTTACCAGCTCTGGGTTGAGGACCTTCTGCCAGCGGTGCTGACACTGACCATCTGTCCTCCCCTGTGGCAGCAGACACAGAAAGTTCAGAACCAGCTCATCACTCTGGACCAGCTGCTAAACTGGCCCCCAAAACTGTAACTCACTACGACTTTCCAGCCACACGGTGCCCTAATGCAATTGGTAAATGACTTTGACAGTCAAAGAGTGAATAAAATGTTCTTTTGTGATACTTACTGGAAAGAAGGTCGCTATTGATTTCCAGGATTCAGTTCCATGCTGCTCTACAAGTTTTTTAAGTTTTTCATCCTTAAAGAAATTAGCAGAAAGAAAAAAAAATTAAATACTTAATATTTTTTGCCTCTGACATTTTTCTTTTGACTTTTATCCCTCTTTCACTTCAGTGTTTTAGATTAAAAAAAAAAAAAAAACATTAGACAGAGCATGTATTCAGACCTGCCACTTTTTGTCCGCTTTAAAAGAATCAGAGTTTATTTTCCCATTGGTCCAGACCGTTTGTTCAGGTGTGAATACACTCAGCCAAACCAAGAGACCCAGTCCACTTCTACAGGAGCTCTGGTGTGAACACAGACAGGGCTCGATCTGCACCAACTACAGGAAATATACGTCTTTTTGGGTCTTATAAGCCACCATTGCTGGACGTTCTGGTAATAATTAGCCCTTCGGTGTTGCTAATGCTACAACTGCATGGATGCTAAAAAGGACGAGGCGTGTTCACTCCAGAAGCTCCGAGGAGACAGTGCATTCGTCCCTGGCATTTGGGCAGACGCACACAAGAATGCAGTCATGTTCAGCATGTTTAACAAGAAGTGTTTGTTTTCTTTCCGGGTTTGTGCTCTGCCACATTTCTGTCCAATGGAAGCAAAGATCGTTACCTGCCTGGCTTTATTTAAAAATTATTGCCCGCTTGCAAAAAAGCTCAATACGAAATCAAACTGCATCAAATAAAAAACTATAAAGCCTACTTTAGGTTTGGGCCAAACAACTTTAATAGTGTGAAAACACCCAGAGATAATTTTATTAAATTAAAAAAAAAATGCAAGTGAGTTTGTTCATTTAGGGAAAAACTCACTGAGGAGGGATTTGGTCATGTTTCTTTGCAGACTGTTTTATTTCAACAATGGTGAATGGTTTTTAGTATTGAATGGTTGGACCAACCTTACATCACAGCATCTGGATGCCATTTTTGCTCATTTTCTCTCTTTCTTATAGTTGAATCATGAACATTGACCATAACTGCAGCAAATGAGATCTGCAAAACTTTATATTTGTTCTGGATTATTTTATGACATCCTGGATGAGCCATTCCTGGAAAGGCTCATTGCTGTTCCAATATTTGTCCATCTGTGGAAAACGTCTCTCTGTGGTTTGCTGGAAACTCACACCTACAGAGATGACTTTGGTACCCTGATATATGTCACAGACTTCGTTTCTCATCTGTTCTTAAGCCTTCAGCTTGAGCTTTTTACAATCTTATATTTCACTTTAAGTTGCCAAAGAGGCCTGATCAGATGGGTCAGGCAGTAATTGGGCCTGGAATTGTTTACTAACAGTTAATTAATAATTTAATAAAAGGGTGGTTGCTTTTTCCAAAGTCAGGTTGGTTTTGATTTCAAAACTCCATTTGATATTTACATAATTAAAATCTGTTAGATGATCAGAAACATGCAAGAGGAAGAAACCTATAAGCAGACAAAGACTAACTTCACTTTTTAAGCATGCTACGATTTACCACAGGTCACCATGTAAACACTATGAAGTCTGTTTCAGTTTCGGCCACTTCTCAGGCCACACCCAACATGCGAAAGTCCATCATCCTCTTACCTCATCTCGGGACCATTTCACTTTACACAGCAGCTTTTTGTCTTTGCTTTTCTCTTTACTCTCTGGGTCTGTGGAGTGGAGCTCTTCATCTTCATCAAGGCTAGAAATACTACAATAACAAAGCAGCAGAAAGATTGTAAAACGGAGACCCTAGAAATAAAAATGACATATAAAAGTCCCACCTAACCAGCCAGATCTCTCCTAATTAGTATCACCTTTAGCTTTGCTTGGGGACTCCCAAGTTTGATTTATTGACGGATGAAAGAGAGGAAAAAAGTACTACAGTTTTGCAGAATGGGTTAATCTGATTACCAATGAGACTGGAGGTTATTACTGGACAGGCGGTAGAAAATGACATTATTTCTCGCACAGTTTTTCAATCAACGAGTGGGTGAGTGAGTGGGTGTGTTGATGGAAGCAGGATTAAAGGTGCAGTTGTTCAAAAAGCAACGAAAGCAAACATAACCTGGCTCTTAAACCACCGCAACCATTTGTTAAAATCATCAGATTACTCACACTTTACTCACTTAAGTGTTTTCTTTGCTTTTAATAATCCAAAACAGATCATTTTTATTTATATAGTTTATGTTTTGGCTTTAACTCTTTTGAATATTTGAATTTATGAACAAATCCAGTTACTTTCGACATGCCTTCATTTGTTGTTGAAATAAACACAAATGTGTACAATTAAACACAAGTCTAGTTGGACCTTTCTCCTCACATTTTCTGATTAACATCAAAGCATATTATCAGCTAAAAATAACGCATTTTAACATAACTCCCAGGAATTTTTGCATTTTAGCCATTTTTTTGGCATTTACTGCTTTGCACTTTTGTTTGATTATTTTATTCTTATTCGTTTGTATATGTGGAATTATTAACTATATTTATATTTTTTTCTATCAGTATTAATTGCAGGTTAATAACTTGTACTTTTATTTTTTAATGTATTGCATAAGAGGTTCTACAGAAATAAAGTATGAATTTATGGTATTATTGAGAAGGTTCATGCAGCACAAGGTTAAAGATTTTCTGAATTGGCAGAAAACCTTATTGTGTGCTTAAGGGCTGGACTGACTTGTGACCAATAACCCTGCAGATATCATACAACATATGGCAAATGGTAAGCATTTATAAATTACTATAAAAAAAAGTGCCCTGCTTATCACAGTTATTATGACTTGGCTAGTTATTGTCTGTGTTGACATAAGAGTTAATAAAATATGCCTTTGTGACAAATAGGTTATAACATACCTATTACTAGTGACCTTTAACACTAGCCATTTTATGATGCTAAGCCAAAAGAAGGTTCTTTGTTAAAGGTTCATTTAAATAATTATGGGGGATCTGCAATTATTTTTTCTACTTTCAACCAGACTCTTAGCTTTTGATCTATATCTGCTTGTAAATGCATTTGTTTACTATAATTTATGCATGTATTACAGATTATAACTAGTGCTGGGGCTGTTTACTAGCTATTTATTGCACTCTAGAGCTTCTATGTGCAGGTAGACTTGGTAAGTTGACGCCCTCGCCTGCAGGACAATGACACCAAACCTATCTACGGCAGATGGCAGGCGAACCAAACAGTGACATGACTCTATTATGGAACCTTATGGCACCTACCTGCGTGTTTTCGCGTTGTCCATGACAGCCGGTGGGACGGTTGAACCTCTTCAAAGACAAACCTGTGTTTGGCAACGCTCTCAAACCCCGCAGTAATAACTGTCTATCCATAGAAATCGCTTTCAGTCATCACTGAGAGGCTGTTGCATTCAGTTGGCGGAGAATGGCTAGCCAGCGAGCTAACTGGATGCGACGTTACATCAAATTTGCAGGGTAACAAAAAACGCTGTTCACCCTCGATAACATCGTTGCTATGAAAAATGCGTCACTCTATTTTCTTCTGGTTTTTGTCGCTTAAAATGCGACGTCGCAACGTAAAGAGCTCGTCTGCAGACGGAGGACCTAACAGGGCTTTCCTCGCTTTCATTCAGAGATGTTTCTAGCAGAGTCTCCCCCCCGTCTGTACCTCTGTGTAACGCTATAATTTTTGTCCATCCCGCCGATTCTCGCGCCCAGCCCTCTGTGCAGGCGGCCTCACCGCTGATTGGACACAGTCGCCCAGCGCTCTAAACTAACAGGTTACTGCTGTGGAGGTGCTCATCGTTCATTGGCTGGATTCTCCACAGGCTTTTCTTTGATTGGTTGAGGATTTGAAGAGGCGGGTGTTCAATTAGACCACTGCGCTGTCATCTTCTCCAGCAGAATGGACCTTTTCATTAAGAGTGGAGGCTCATAGTTGGGTGGGCAGGGGCCCTTTGCGGGGAAGAGGATGTTTGTCAGGGCAAGGGTTTCTAGCAGAAAGTTTTTACTGCTGTTGATGCATATCTGTAAATTATAATATTATAGAAAAATTTATTTACTTCAGCAACATATCTCTAGAGTGAAACTTTTGAATTGATTCATTATACTGATTGACCTATTTCAGTTGTTTATTTCTGTGAAGTCCACTCGAAATTGCCACGTCTCATTTAGAAATCAGGGAAAATTTAAAAAAAAGACACATTAAAAAATATAATTAGCCCTAAATTCTAAACAAAATATGATTGTGTTGATGCATTAATTGTGCACACTTTAGGCAAAGACCTACATCAGTCTGACTAAAATTCTGAGTTAATAAAAACTTCTGGATTTCAGGGATTCATTTTCCAATACTTAAAAGCTAATGTATTCATTTTCTGTAAAACAGTGCAAAAATATCAGTATTTCGCTATAGTTGGCATTAAAACATTTTGTTAGCAAGGCAGCCATGTTGGATTTTTATGTCAGGGTTGGTGATAAATATCAGTCTTTTCAACTCACAAACAGTGCCCAGAAACCTAAGTTACTTTCCTCAAATTTGAACTTGGTCATTTCAGCTTCTGTGTAAAACAGAACACACTATTCCAACTGATCCTTCAAACAAGATATAATTATTTACTAGTTTATTGGCATCAATTATCTGTCAGTTGGATGGTGCTTGGAAACGTGGTATTTACTGAAATAGTACATGTTATACAAAAGTTTGAGAACCCATCAGTTCCTCAATGAATGTACTGCATTGTCACGCTTGCAACTTGTGTTTTGCTGCCATCGTGTGGACACATCCTCAGAGTTTGGATATGCTGGATGTTTCCTGATGACAATTTTCTTTTCTGTTTTTATTTTGTCAACATGCTAACAGTTTTATAAACACTATGAATAATATTAAAAATAGATCACGTATTTAATAAAAAGTTAATATAACTGAACAATAACAAAAAGTCAGGTGAACAGTTTGGATAGGCACAAATTTTGTGTTGTAATGGGCCCACAGAAAATTTATTATATTGTAAGAGAATT